GGAGAGGATTAATCGGCTACGGACTAACTGATAAGAACACGAATGTCCAATTGCTCAAGGACGTTAGAGTAGGCACAGATGGAGTACATCGAACAGAGTTTATTATAAACTTATAGTCTGAAAAAGTTTAAAAACGGAACAGAAAGCATCTGATCAACGTCATGATTCGTACAATGCCGAACCTGTTCGTGGAAGAGGCCTGGAGGTAGGTCGAGAACTTCATGGCTGGATTACGTCAGAGACGAACTGACTGCGAACGACAGAATGATTCGCAATGTCGCAATCATCGAGGATTTGTAAGTCGTGCCTGATAGAGGAATTGACTTGAAATTATATCCGACGTTACACATGCCGGAATGTAATTTCATATGGTTTTTAGAATCACGTGATGTCGCAACTTTGCCCTTTGTGTCATCCAGGAGATCAAGTCCAGTTGGGCGACAGTAACCAGTGTACAAGTGAACGACAGAGTTTGCTCTAAAGCCTGTGACAATGGTTGACAGAGCCTGTTCGAAAATTGCTGAATGAAAGATGAATTGACAGAAGAAATTCTGTCATGCTAACATTAGTAATCCATTCGTGTGACAATCGAAATTGACAAAGTTGTTGTCTCGATTCCGGATAATGTTGTCAATGTGATTGAATACTGTACGACTGTGCGATGAAAGAACTCGTGGACATTGCTCGGTATTTCATTCGCAGTAATGTATGAAGCAGTCAGACGGATCAGGCAAGCGGACATTCTGAAGCGGATCTGTGATGATAGAGAAGGTCTTAGTGAAAAACTATTTGCTTCAAGTCGGGTTTACGCAGTACCTCCTTACGCCAATGATTTTTAGTGTTGAATGGTGACCGGAAAAGTACTATCCTATTCTTAATACAAGCTTTAGAAACGACGGATAGCAGCTGGGCAAAATTTGCAGTTTCGAAAGTAGCTTCATATGTCTTCGATGGTTACTTGTTCGTAGTCCATGTGGAGGAATCACCTCATACAGTAGTTTGGACATGCGTTCTATGCCACCGCATACCCGTTTTAGTGGCATGACGAAGGCACCCCACGGCATGAACCATGGACCAACTGTCCTGAACGCGATGACGTCACTCGAAAGCGAGGGTTGGAAATA